GCGACTCGCAACCGGTGAAATAATCCGGAAATAACGTCGTAACGAGGGGGACTTGCATAATTCACGCGTGACGTAAGTGTGCGCTGTGCCGAAAGTTCGGCCGGTTTGGATGATTAGACGCCCATCTCTTTTTTGGTTTTCCGACGTTATCTCCAGTCGTACGAGGAACAAGGAACGAAACTTGGGGGCGTAATTTGCAATAATTTTTGCTGTGCCTTCTTTGAGCCTCGGTGCCTTTGCGACGAGGGTGACATAGGAAAGGAACGGAAGGAAAGCTTTTTTTGGGGTACATAACCAAGTGTGGTGTGAGTAAATTTCTTGGTGAAACCTTTTTCTTTTTCTTCTTTTTCTTACCACTGCGGCTAGGATAGGAAGCAGAACCAAAAATGTCTGGATCCGAAGACGAATTCTCGGATAGCTCCAGCACGCACTCGTATTCCTCGTTCTTCTCGAGTCCCGCAACCGCGCTCCGCCAAAATCTGCACAGATTCCTCATCCCGTACATCCACCTCGAGTCGCAATTCATCGCGGCGCTGCAACGCCGATGGCGCAGTCCATTCTGGGACAAATACTTTGTGTACACGTCGAGCCTGGGCACGCATACGTTCTTTATGATTCTGCTGCCGGCGGTGTTTTTCTTTGGGTTTGACGTTGGGGGCGAGGCGGGCTTGGGCGGGAATAAGGAGATGGGGATGGGGCTGGTGATGATTATGGGCTTGGGCGTTTATGCGTCGAGTTTTGTGAAGGATTTGGTGTGTAGTCCACGGCCGTTTGCGCCGCCGGTTACGAGGTTGAGTGAGTGGGTTTTGCAAATTCTTTGGTTTTTCGTTCCTTTGTTGCGCTTATATATAGAAAAGCCTTTGGCCTCGTTGTTTTCGGTTTCAATGAGTCGAATGTATACGTCTCCTCCTCGTTGTGTTATTTCTGATATTCTCTCTACAATTCCTTTTCATTTCACTACGTCTCTTACTCTCACTGCAACTGAACGTGTTGTCCGTTGTGTGTATTTCCATTTACTCTGGTCCGGTTCTTCTCGCCGAGTAACAATTCCTTCCTTCCCGCATCTTTTTATCTTTTTTTCACGAGCCAGACCACGATGCGAGTTTGCCGAGTTCTGTTATGTACAAGAACTGGCGGCGGACTTGCCTGTTCTTTGTCTTTGTCTCATCTCTCGGGCTTTCTTTCTTGCGTATTCTGTTCTTGCCATGTCTTGTCTCATTTCTCGGATTTGCATTCATTCCAACGCGTTCTTTGTATCGCTTGACACTAACTCTCCTCATCAGCCCTAGGAAACCACCACCTCGAATACGGCTTCCCCTCCACGCACTCAACCAATGCCGTCTCCATCGCCCTCTTCTTCTACGGCTACGTCTACAACCTCTACCACCCCTCCCTCAACCCAACAGCGACCCCGCTAACATATTATTTCCTCACAACCGTTCTCGTCATATACACATTATCTATTGTGCTAGGACGGATATACACAGCGATGCATTCGGTTATGGATTGTGTCGCGGGATGCGTGCTGGGCGCAGTGGTGTGGTGGGTCGTGACGGATGTACCCGTGCGGTTTGGCGTGTATGAGAATCTTGGGTGGACTGTACGTGGCTTTGGCGCGTCGAATAAACTGCAGGCGTGGGTCGTCGAGTGCGTTGCAAGCGCCTCTATCCCGACGACCTTCGCAGCGAAGCTCCTCCAATCTCCGCTGTCACCACCATTTCTCCTCACATCGATATTCCTCCTCATCATAAACCAGCACCCGCAGCCCATAGACGACTGCCCGTGCTTCGAAGACGCCGTCGCGATGGGCGCCGTCGTATATGGCAGTTTAGTAGGGATATGGGGGAGGGTGTATTTCGCGCAGCTGCAGGGGACGCCGTTGAGGGAGGTTATGGCGATGGCGACGGCGACGTCGACGTTTGTCCCTGCCACGCCCATGCTCGGCGCGCCATGGCACGTCCTTCCCTCCGGAACCTGGGTCCCTTACCCCCCTTCTTCCCCTTCCTCTTCCTCCTCCTCCTCCTCGTTCTTCCCCTCTCTATTCCCCTCTCTACTCCCCTCTCTATTCCCCTCCCTCCCCCTCCCATCCCTCCTCCTCCTCCTAACCATCGCCCTCCTCAAACTCACCCTCGGCATAACCCTCATCTTCACCTGGCGCCTCTCCGCCAAATTCCTCCTCGGTATCACGCTCCCGCCGATATTCCGCGCCGTCGCGCGTGCCCTGGGCGGGGTGAAAGCCGCGTTGGATTGGGGGCTGGGCGAGATGGGGGTGGGGAGGGGCGAGAGGGGGCGGTGGATTGGGTGGTTGGGGATGCCGAATAGGCGGTTTTATTTGCCGGCGACGGAGTATAGGGGGGGCGTGCCGAATTTGCTGTCGCCGAGTGTTAGGAGAGCGGGTGCGGGTGGGTTGGAGGGAGGTGCGGGTGGTGGCCTTGAAGGTGGCGGAGGCGCGGGTGGAGCGGAGGGAGATGTGAAAGGCGGATTTGGGTTTGTGGTGGGGCAGGAGGGAGAAGAGGATGGGGTGTATGGGTACCGCTATGGGAATGGGAATGGATATGAGGGAAGCGAAGATGAGGAGGAGGAAGGAAGAGTCATGAGACCCATTCCATCGGTTATCGATCTACCGAGCTCGTTGAGGATGGGCGTGGAGGATCGCGGGGTTGGTGCTGGGAGCGGGGCGGGGAGGGAACACCTGGAGGATATGCGGTTGACGAGTCGGACGGGGGTCAACAAATCGAAACAGAAAGAGAAAAAGCAATCGTGGCAGGGGGAGAGCGCGAGCGCGAACGGGAACGGGAACGGGAACGGGAACGGGAACCAGGGCGTGAATGAGGACGGGAATGGGAAGAAGACGAATGGTGGCGTTGGGAATGGGAATGGGAATGGGAAGGAGGAGAAGGAAAAGGAGAAGGAAAAGGAGAAGCTGACGGTTGTGATTCCGGAGGAGAAGCAGCATGAGGGAAGCGGGGTGAGGCAGCATAGGCATTATGATGCGGATGGTGAGCGTCTTTCTTCTTTTATGTTCTTTGCTTTCTCTTGCTTTCTCTTGCTTTCTCCTTTCATTCTTTCGTTCCTTTTCGTTTCCTTTCGTTCGTTCGTTCTTTCATTCCGTCCCTTCCTTCCTTGCCTTTCGTTCTTGCTATCTTCCGTTTCGTCTCTTCCTTCGTCCGTTTCGTCCCTTTTCTAACCTCCCCTCCCCCCCCCCCCCCCCCCCACAGTCCTGACAAAAGTCATCGTCTACACCGGGATCGCCATCCTCTCCATCGAGCTCACCCCGCGGCTCTTCGAGATTATAGGCTGGGGCGTGTGGGTCGGCCCGCCGCCGGGGGCTGTCGTGGATTTCGATTATGAGCGTATGAGCGTATGAGCGCGGCTGTCGTGGATTTCGATTATGGGATATGGGATATGAGCGTATGGGGCGTATGGGCGTATGAGCGTATGCGGAGTGTGGTGGTTATCGTATGTCGTGCATGGATCCTCTTGTTCGCTTTGTCTAGTCCTGTTTGTCTAGTCTAGTCTTGCTTTTCCGTTTTTTTGTTAACGCAATGGTATAAGTATAAGGTACTTGTAGGAAACAAACTTTGTATTAATTGAATCGAATGAATCTTTAATCAAATCGAATGAATCTTTAATCAAATCGAATGAATCTTTTTTTTATTTATTTATTTTTTTTTTCTTTTTTTTGCGCTTTGGGTTCCCTCAGGTCGCGTTTTTGCGTTTTGCGTTTACTGTTGTGTTTTACCTTCGTGCGGTGATGAGATTGTTTTGCTCTGGACCTAGGCCTACAGGTGCTGTTGTGTTTTACCTTCGTGCGGTGATGAGTACTTGAGTCGTTACTGGGTTAACTAGAACTTCAGATATTGGGTTGAAGCTTTGAAGCTTTGAAGCCTTGGTTCCAGTTGCTTTTTCTCCTTTCTTCTCCCCCCCTAGACTAGTTATATAGCCGGAACTTGCAAGGTGCTTGGAGATAGTTAGTGGTGAAGGAAGACAATCGGGGAGACCATGAGGATTCCCTTGGAGGGTTCTGGGTTGCTCTTGGATCTGGCCAGTGTAAAAAAATAAATAAAAATAAATAAAAAAAAGGGTTATATTCCACAGGCCAAACACCTCCCTGGCTGGGAGTCGAACCCAGCTTTCGCGCGGGTATAAAGGGATTTAAACCTTGATTGCTCATCACATGACAGGCGCGTGTACTAGCCGATATACTACAGGGAGATAGTTATCTTTGGAGCAATCCAAAGTAGTATGGCTTATCGCACATTTTAAGGGAGGGACCCTTTGGCATTCACGGGTTTGAAGCTTGGGGCTAGTGAAGGCTACCTATCGGAGGGCCATGAGGTTTCTTATTGAATCTGGAATCTGGATTGGCCAGTGGGTATGTATGTATGCTCAATAGACCAAGTCGATGAAAAAGTACCACAGAGTAAGCCAGTCAGTGAGATGGCCAAAAATAATATTACAGATTCCAGAAAGGCGTTATCATACCAGCTCCTGGCTGGGCGTTGAACCCAGCTTTCGCGCGGATATCAATGAATTGACAATGATTGGACTGGACATGACAGGCGCGTGTACTAACCGATATACTACCAGGGAGATAGTTATTTATGGGGCAATTTAAACTAGTACGGCTTATGGCATGTTTGAAGAGAGGCACCAAGGCTATTATCCCTTGAGGAGATAGCTTCAGCAAATTTCCTTGGGCGCTATCCTGGGGGGCCTACAGGCAATTCCAATTCACTGCTGGGTTACAGATTCAGATGGGTTGAAGGTTTGGGTTACTTTTACGCCTGGACCAGTTAGCCATTTTCACTGTTAATGTGCAACACAAGAGTTGACTAATGAAGCTGAAGTCAAATGAGGGGCTATCAGGATTTGGAATTTTGGATCTGCATACTCCCAAAAGAAAAGCAAGAGATGCTTAACTTGGTAGGTCAATGGGAAGAAATCCAGGTGGGAGGTTCAAAAATAGTAGAGATCAAGATTCAGAGTTAATGGGCTAGCTCCCTGGCTGGCAGTCGAACCCAGCTTTTGCACGGAATAAGTTCTTGATTCCAACATATGACAGGCGCATGTATTAACTGATATACTACCAGGGAGTTATGTATACAGCAGCTTTCCCCAGTTTGAAGTAATTGCAAGTTTGAAGATGGCACAGGCATAGGTGTGAGTCACTGGAAGTTTTTGTGGATCCTTAGTTAGATATGAAGATTCCGGTTGCTGTTTTGCCCTGGAGGCTGGACCCAATGGCTATTTTCACTGTTAGACAATAAGTGAGATTGTCTCCTATTGAGGACAGTCATTTGGATTGCCTTTGAGCAAACAATCATTTAGAGTGCCAAGAATTAAGACAATTATTCTGACTAATGTCAGAGTTGAGTATAGGTAATTTATTCAATCCTCAGAAAAAATAGGACCTAGCTGCCTTCTGGACACAATGACACACTTACATCGTTCGAGCCATCCCGCACTCCCCTCTGTCCAAGATTATATCCAGGGGACACGTTACACCTACCCTTACGTCGGCCCAATCTGCTAGGCCGTACAAAAATCTAGTGTTCCGGAATCAGGTGTTCATTATTCCTTATGTTTCATCTCATTGCTTGTTTGATTTTACTATTTATCCTTTATCCAATATTTCCCTCCTTGACCTGAAGCTTCTCCGTGCCTCCTAGGGTATAGGCAATAGTTGTCGGAGCACACCTGAGTCGTGACGCTTAGTAGACTGCCACACTAACCTTTGATTGAGCCAGTGAGTTCACTCTAGGGCTGAGGGGCACCAAGAGGCAGTGCACTTAAGTCACTGAAAGTTGCATTTAGCGGCCTTGAGTTGAGACGTACTTTTCCTGATGTCAGTTCCAGCATATTTGCTGTGAAGCTTGCCACTGCGCCTGAAATATTTCAATTGAGGACCCAAAAAAATGAAACCTGCATCATATATCATTTGTGCTTGATAGCCTCAATTGACAAATAGAAGATTCAGTAAGTACAGTACTTAGTTGAGTCCAACAGCACTAGACTGAGCCTTAGTTGCAACTTGCAAATCAGAATGTATGTGTATCATGGGGATGAGAACTTTCCTGTGTCTGAAGATACCAAAAGGTCATAGATACCAACTGAGCTGCCATAGGGTGTTTGCTGTACTTGATATTTGTCTGATTGTTACATTGAGAGGTTATCATGCTCCTGCCACTATATAACCATCATTCCCAAATTGTTCTACCAAGAAATTCCAGCTACTGAACCCCTTCTTGCCAAGGTCATGACTCCAGAAGAAGTGGCTGATACATCAGCAATTGGACTTATGATTATGCAGGATGTTGGCCTAATAATTGTGCTCAGCTCCGTTTTTATTGGTGCATTGGCCTAATACACCATCAGCAAAACGTGGGTGAGCTGGCGCCGTTGTCAGGCACTCTACAGCCGTTTCCAGCGGCTCCCAGCGGCCCCAGCACTGTACAGTGCCGGAAAGCGGCTTCCCGTGCACCCACGTTTTGCTGATGACTGATAGTGAGGTGAATTATGCTCAATATACTTTTTAGGGATATACTGTTTGACATTCTGCATCAGTTTGTACATTTACTTGTGAGTCCTCACACCTTCACATCCTGAAAAGATATTTATTTGAGTATGTTGATTCTGCAGGAGAGACAAAAATACCGGGGTTGCAAAGAAAGCAATGTTTTCTGTACTCTTTGGCACATTTGTTCTGATGTTGATGGTCTTTGTGTCAAATGTGGGATTGTTGTTTGATCTTGTTAAGCATTACCTGGTACTATCTCTACCCGGAGGTATTAGGGAGCAAATAGCAGCATCAACTATGCAATCACAAATTCTGGTCTATGCAAAAATGCAAAACTGGCTACAAAAATATTATAGTGAGTTTGGTGAACCTTATACGGAGGTACTAAATGACCTAAATCTGGTGCCAAGGGATTGATCGCTGATGGTGTTATTGCGTGGAGAGCTTGGGCAGTGTGGATGGATAACAAGAAAGTGAAATGGACTTTGTTTGTGTTGATGTTCGCAGATATAGGTGACATTGATATATAGATCCCTGTTCACAAAATCTTATGCAGCTCCAACACCAGGTGTTAGCTTGGCTGATGCTGTTGCCACAGACATTGGTTATGATCATCAAGACCTGTCCCAGAGTCAAATTCTTGATGGGGTCACTTTTGTGCTGTCATTATCTGTGAATATGGTGGCAACATGTTTAATAGCTTTTCGTGCTTGGTGAGTAGTGTCTTGTGTTTGACCCTTATGTCTTTATTGCTATTGATATTGCAGGACACATCATAAATCTATGAGATCAATTTTAATTAGGAGGAAACGGAGCAAAGTAGAAGAAATTCTTCTTCTTCTTGTAGAGTCTGGGGCAATTTTTGCACTTTTGCAGGTACATATTCTACCACATGTAAGGTCATTCTGCTGAGTCAAATCTTGTAGCTCCTTGTCTTGATATTGGATGAATTGGAGACAAATATAGGGCATATTGATGAACACTTGTTATTTGCCGCAATATCCATAAACCAAGTTTATGCAATGGCTGCTGTGAGGACCTACCTGTTATTTAGGCTTACTTAATACTGATCTTGCTGCACCTGCAGGGCTTGAATCCTGTTGCTATCTTCATCTTGGTTCAAACCAAGAACACATATGAGCAAAGTTTCCACCTTGAAGAGGTCCCCACACTGAGTCAACAATTACAATCACAGCAGATCTCTAACAGTTTGAATCCCTCGGACGTCACTGCTGATGCTTCACAGACTGACCAGGAGACCAATACAATTGGTTTCAGGTAAGTTGATTCAGGTGGAAGGCATGAATAGATACGGCAATCTTACAAGCTTATATCTGTAGCATTGTCAGGTATTCCAGGGAGTAAGTTCTCTAGTGATTTTGTTTCCCTGCACAATCCTTGCCCCTCTGCCCTGGACAAAGTGCCAGATTCTTGTCTCATAATTTTTCCTTCCATTTTCTTTCTTCCCTTGGGTAGATAATTTGTCCTGAATTTCATTTATGTACTTTTGTGTACAAGTCATGTTTACTCCAGTATTAACAAGTGCCAATATCTGCATCCACTGATGCTACTGACAATTTATTTAGACATTAGAGCCTGTTTTCTGAACCCAACACGCTTTTAATAATTATTGACTTGTTACAACAAGTCCAGAGATTTTACAATTATTTATTGTTAGTAACAATAGATATCAATGACAGGTGGCACATAATTAAATGTCAATCAAAGATTCTCATGTGCATATGGCAGAGTGGTTCTTCCGCTGCCACGACGTGATTCTGGGTGTTGATCAGGAGGCTAATGTCGTGGATTTTGATTATGGGATATGAGCGTATGAGCGTATGAGCGCGGAGTGTGGTGGTTATCGTATGTCGTGCATGGATCCTCTTGTTCGCTTTGTCTAGTCCTGTTTGTCTAGTCTAGTCTTGCTTTTCCGTTTTTTTTTGTTAACGCAATAGTATAAGTATAAGGTACTTGTAGGAAACAAACTTTGTATTAATCAAATCGAATGAATCTTTTTTTTTTTTTTTTTTTTTTTTTTGCGCTTTGGGTTCCCTCAGGTTGCGTTTTGCGTTTTGCATTTACTGTTGTGTTTTACCTTCGTGCGGTTATGAGATTGTTTTGCTCCGAGAGAAAAGTAGAGCAATTTGAACTAGTATGCATCGAGTAAGCATGTAGTAGACATGTTTTAGCACACAAGAGCGGGACCCGTGTGGCATACACGGTTACACAGTTTGGAGCTTGGAGCTAGTGAAGGCTATCGGAGGGCCATCAAAGGTCTTTTGGAATCTGGATTGGCCAGTGGGTATGTATGTATGCTTAATAGACCAAGTCGATGAAAAAGTGGCACAGAGTAAGCCAGGCAGTGGGGCATGGTCAAAAATAATAGTTGGAAACTGACTTAATAGCTCGCTGGCTGGGAGTCGAACCCAGCTTTTGTGCGGTAAGAGTTCTCTAAACAAGATTATGACAGGCGCGTGTACTAGCCAATATTGTTGGATATTTGGTCCGCGGTATATGGCCGCCGGTATGTACAGCTCCAATACCAAGTAGATATCAGACCCGAGTTCTTATCATTTGTTTTAACTTTTATTTCATTGATACGGATTTCTACTTATACTGTACGTATCGACGTTCCCTTCTTTTCCTCAGCCTTCATCACTTCTGGCTGAGGTATGTTGTTATACTTATGCTTTATGCCATCTATGCTCACACTATACCTATAGCTTAGTTGTACTACGTACTAACGTGTCTCTTAGTTCCAACAGGTTATGGGCCCCGAGTCCGCCTGATACAGCCAGCCTTATAGTGATTACCGGAATCGAATCTTTTATCTTCTCTTCCCGCATAACCCTCGTCTCTATCGATGTCTACTACCCCTTCCGCTCCTACTACCCAACCTACTCAGACTACTTCAAGTACACAGACCACTATGACCGCGCCGACTATTCCGAGTGATTGGACCATCCCTAGTGGTGGAAATTCGCTCTTCCCTCGTGACACTAAGCTCAAAGGTGAAACAAATTTTTCGTCTTGGTCTGCCGTCTTCCTCACTGGTGCTCGCACAGTAGGATGTCAGTCTATTTTGTTGGGCGCGCTTGTTTGTCCTCCCGATACCAACACTAAGTATCTTATCTGGCAACGGATGGATTCTTATATGATGAACATGCTTCTCCAGTGTATCTCTGAGAGCATGGTCAGCATGGTAGAAGGTCTTACGAGCGCCGCCGCCTATAAATGACTTTCGGGTACTTATGGTCCTCAGGGTTCTGGTCTCATCATGACGTTCTTCTCCCGACTCACCCGCCGACTTCCGCTCCAGCATAGCTTTGATTCTTTGTCCGCCCATCTTCAGGGTTTTGAATCTGCTCTGCAGGATATCCGGAAAGCTGGGTACGTTGTGGAGGAAGGGTTTGCCTCTGCTATTCTTGTCACTACTCTCCCCAATGAGGAAGGTGCGACCGGGCCTTGGCACACCTGGATCCGCAGTTTCTCTCTCACCTCCAGCACTACTCTTGAGTCGACTGTCCAACAGATCTTAGGTTCTTACTGTTCGGCTCATCCCAACGAGAACTC